AAGAGGGGTACTTAGAGGCATAGAATCATCAAGGTTGGAGGAGACCTCAAAGATCATCAGCTCCAACCATTAATCTGTCACTGCTGGAATCCCTATACCCTAAACCAGATCCTCCAGTGTCAGATCCAGATGCCTCTGAAACACCTCCAGGGGTGGTGACTCCACCACCTCCCTGGGCAATATCCCAGGGCCTCAACACCACAACAGGGAAAACATTTCTCCTCACATCCAATCTGACTCTGCCCTGGCTCAGCTCAAGGCCATTCCCTCTAGTCCTCTCCCTGCAGCCCTGGCAGGACACACATCCCACACCTCCCTCCAGCCCTGGCAGGGAGTTGCAGAGAGCCATGAGGTCACTCCTGAGCCTCCTCTCCAGGCCGAACAAACCCAACCCCCTCAGCCCTTCCTCATACAACGTGTTCTAGACCTTTTATGAGCCTTGTTGCCTTTCACTGGACTTCTTAGAAGATGAATGAAATAAGAGACATATTAGTCTTGAATAAATGGTCATTATTGAGGAGGGGCAAGTCCCACAGGAAGGATCCAAAGGGCCTGGAGGGCAATTAAACCTGGTGCTTTCCCCCAAGATGTGCTAGTAAGTAGGCAGAACTACTTCAATTAATTTCCACTGCACTTGCTTAAAAACTTATTCAAAAGAATAATCATCACCCCAACACACCTGTAGAAGTCTCTGCTGAAATAATCCCAGCAATTTACTCTCTTGAGATTGAACACATGCCTTACTTAGATTTCACCTTTGCCTACTCCCATGCAGTGGATGTCTTGCTTGTCTAGGAAGAAGCTGACACTGCTTGTCCTAGATTGTCACATTTCATATTCCTCTGTGGATCCACTAGGAGAGAGAAATGTAACCCAAAAATCAAGAGGTATGTGATGTGATCCTCACATATTCTTTTACTCATGACTTCAATGTCGCCAGATACAAGTACAGATGAAGTGGGGAATGAAAGTTTGGGGAACTCAGATCAAAGCCTGCTGAGGACTCAGGCCTAAGGAATGTCATGGTGAATTTGGGAAGTATTCCCATTCCTTACTCTTCTTTCAATTTTGAAATATTTTAGTTATAAACAAGATATTCCAAACTACTGATTTAGTTGGAATGGTTACTAATATATTAGTAGCTTCATGCTACTTTTATTTATTTAAGCTCTGCAGGTCAGAAGTAAAGGAAATCAGGGAAGTTCTGTATCTAATAGAATGACAGAGACATAGAATTTCAGGGACTGGAATGGACCTGACAGATCATCCAGTCCCAAACCCCTGCCCTGGGCTGGGACACCTCCCACCAGAGCAGGTTGCTCAAGGCTCAGCCAACCTGGCTGTGAACACTGCCAGGGTTGGGGCAGCCACAGCCTCCCTGGGCAACCTGGGACAGTGTCTCACCACCCTCACACCACCTCACCACCCTCTTCTGCCTAAGATCTAGCCTAAATTTCCCCTCTTTTAATTTGAACCCATTGCCCCTTGTCCTGTCCCTGCAGCTCCTAACACAGATCCCTCTGCAGCTTCCCTGGAACCCCTTCAGCTCCTGGAAGGTGCTCTGAGGTCTCCACACAACCTTCTCCTCTCCAGGCTGAACAGCCCTAACTTCCTCAGAATCACATCTGACAAACTCAGAGACAGTGGGTTTTTTTCGTCTCTGTGTCACCCCTAAAGCAGCAGTGACTCTATGCCAGGAGCACCCACCTCTCACCACGTTGGAAGGAAGCTTCTGCCAGTTCAGCTTCTTCATTCTCAGTGTTGGTGTTTTCACTGTCTTGTGGGGAGGCCTGGCCAAGCCAAGAGGGCAGCTGAACTGGGAGGCCACCACAGCTTCTATGTGATCTCCTGCCATGCCAGGCAGGAGGGGTGGAGGAGGAGGGATGCCACCCATGCCAGGCAATGGAGGGGGAGGGGGAGGGACACCACCCATGCCAGGTAACGGTGGAGGGGGAGGGATGCCCACCATGCCAGGCAGTGGGGGTGGATGTGGGATGCCACCCATGCCAGGCAGGGGAGGTGGAGGAGGTGGGATGCCACCCATACCAGGTAATGGAGGTGGAGGAGGTTGGATTCCCATCATGCCAGGCAGTGGAGGTGGAGCTGGGATGCCACCCATGCCAGGCAGTGGAGGTGGAGGAGGAGGAATATTCCCCATGCCAGGCAGTGGAGGTGGAGGTGGAGGAATGCCAGGGAGTGGAGGGGCTGGAGGTACATTCATCACAGGGGTTGTGGGGTTCATGGGTGCTGTGCCAGAGGGTGGGGGTGGAGGTGCTGGAGCAGGAGCAGGAGCAGGAGCAGTGTTGGCTGGAGCGTTGGATGTCCCTGACAAAGCAGAGCAGCCTGTGAACTGGCAGGATGAGATCTTTTCGTTGGCAAGTAGTCCTGAGGATGTTGCTGGTGCCTTGGAAGGGTTTGATGATCCCAGTGGGCTCCGAGCTGCACGTGCACATGGTTCTGGCTCGCCCTGGACACCTCCAGTTGCACCCGAGGACAGTCGGTTTTCAGCTTTCTTCTGCTTGTTTGGCTGTTTCTTGATAGATAGCAACCTCTCAATGACCTCATCCACTGTGTTCCCTTGGACTAGAGAAACAAGGCAGGGGCAGAGAAGGGGATGGGCCTCAGAGGCTGGGTCATGCCCTTCAACCCTCCCCAAACAGCAGATATTGAGGTACAGATCCCAGTCCCTGCTGTCACTACACAATTACACTTTTGGCTTCCAAGCAATTTCCTTCCCATGCTTCCAGCCCACAAACACTGGAGCATGCCTGCCAGCAAGACATGCCAGCAGCAGGATGCCAATGAGGACATGTTCTCACCAACTCCCATGACCCAAAGCTCAGGGATTAAAGCAAGACTGAATTCCAAGCCCACTGCTAAATGTGGCCATCCACATGGATGGAGCTTCACATCAAGACTTGACCCTATGCAGGAGGTGTAGCTTTGTCCCAGTTTCTGTTCAGCTCTTACCAGATCCCACAGATTATTTCCTGCACATTTGGGAAAGACTTTTGCGGGCTGTGGGTGGGACAAGGTAAGACCAGGGGAGGGTGCAAAGCTAGATAGATGTGTCACTCTTACTGTCATTTGCTAGCAGAAGGGCTCTGTTCACTACAGCATCCAGGGACTCCCACAGCAGGAGGCTGGAGTGGTGAGATGGCTCCAAGTGCAGCAGGCTCTGGAGGATGGACAGCAGCTGGATGGAGACTGGAGAGCGGCTCACCTGCAAGACAGGACAGCTTTCCATCACAGCAAAGCTGCTTCCAAGCCAAGTGGGTTAACTCTGCCATGGCATGACTTTGTGCCCCATGTGAGGGCCTACTTACCTTGTTGAAGAGAGATGAAAAGACCTCATGGTGATCGTTCATGTTTATCCCATCACAAATCTTCAACAATTCCTCATCATCTTCTATCTTGAACTCCTCAAATGTATCACACTGGATAAGCAGATCCTCCTCCTCAATGTCTCTGCAATGTCACAGCATTTGTTTTCACTGGAGAGCTCTTTGGTGATTTTTCAGATGATTGTTTCTGTTCAAATGGCTTTTGCCTCCTTTCCTCTCAGACTGAGGCACTTGGTGTTGAAAGTACCCAACCCTACCTCACTTGTAAAGGATCAAATGCCATCAGTGCATCCTTTCTTAAACAGAATATATCTCTTCCTACAGCCAACACATACAAATGGAAGGGAATTTTCATGGCATGACCTGCCCCAGTGTGTGCTTGCTATGCAATTCTCCTTGGAGCTGTAACTACTGTAAAAGGTTGCATATGAGTTTGTTCATTAAACCCTGAATAAAACCATATGTAAAAGGTATAGGGCAAATATATTCAGAAAACTTTAGAGAAATATTCTAAGTAAAAGAATTTACTTAGTACTTAGAAGGGGGGGGGGGAACGAAACAAAGAAGCTAAAAAAGACTAATCAGTGATAGACTGGGAGTTCCTTACTAAGCAGCTGGCGCAGCTGGCGTCGCCTGTTTGTTTGTCCTTGCTCTACACTGACATGCACACCGCAAAGAGAGGAGATACTAACCAGGGCCAAGAAGGAAGTGATAAGAGGAATGGGCCCCAAGAAAGGAATTTAGGGATGCGCCAGCCGGGCAAACAAAGTAGGATCCAAAAGGTAATTAAAAACCTGCTGAAGTGAAACAAGTCAAGGTAGAAGCTCAAAGTAGGATGTTAGATGTTAGATCTGTAGAACACTAACCTTAGGATTGCTTTAGCTTATTAACACAAGGAATACCGCAAGTTAAGCAATAAATGTAAAAAGGCCTAACTGTAGAATAGAAAATATAAGTAAAAAGTTAAAAGGTGTACAACAGGTCGGGGAATCGACACACGAAAGCAGCGAGAAGGGAATCTCCAGCACTACGATCGCAAGGAGGCGGGAACAGCGTCCCTAGCGACAGCTCGCGCATGCGCAGAGTGCGCCGCAGAGCTCCGCGGAGCGGGAAATGGAGTGTCTCACCCGGGGGCTGTGGGGAAGGGGCGTGCGCCCTTGGCGGAGCAGAGACTCCCCGGCCGCCCAGCGCTGTTTTGCTTGCTGAAGCCTTGCTCAATCAATACATTTCCTAATTGAACTGGCTCCTGCCAATTTATTGGGCCGCAATTTATAACACTACAGAGTGGTATTTTCATGTTTTGAAAACTGAGCCAATTTCTTTTTTTAAAGTCAGGACAAATTGAAAATATACCAGTGACTTTTCTGTTTGAAAATCTTCCTTCTCTGTGACTCAAAATTGGATTAAACCCCTCGCCAAACACTCCAAAACTGCCTTTTTCAGCACTCTTGAGACCACTCAGTGCAGAAACTCTACCTCTGTTAGTTGGCACTATGGAAAGAGCTTCTCTTCCCTAATTTGTATGGAGTTGGATGGAATAATTCCAGTCACACAGATAACTGCAACTCCACTCCACCCACTCCACACACCTGAAGGTTGAGAAGTATGAAGCTTCCACAGCTCTCTCATTTATAAAATCAGTGTGAGCAGTGATCCTTACCTCAGCTTGTCCAAAATATCCAACAGCTGAAGCCCTGGGAGGACAAAAGAGACATGTTTGCATTAAGACCCACGTGGTACTGATACATTATGACCTGAGGGAATCATACCATATCATAGAATTTCAGGGACTGGAATGGACCTTAGAGATCACCCAGCCCCAACCCCCTGCCCTGGGCAGGGACACCTCCCACCAGAGCAGGTTGCTCAAGGCTCAGCCAACCTGGCTGTGAACACTGCCAGGGCTGGGGCAGCCACAGCCTCCCTGGGCAACCTGGGACAGTGTCTCACCACCCTCACAGTCTGAAGGACCTGAGGGAATGGTCTGAAGTTGTCTCAGGGGAGGTTTAGGCTGGATGTTGGAATCACAGAATCAGATGGGTTGGAAGGGACCACAATGGTCATCTGGTCCAACCTCCCTGCTCAGACAGACCCAGCCCAGAGCACATGACTCAGGATTGTGTCCAGATGGTCCTTGAATACCTCCAGTGAGGGAGAATCCATGACCTCTCTGGGCAAATGGTTCTCCTTTCCCCAGAGGTGTTTGGGCACTGAACAGCTCCCCAGGGCAGTGTCACAGCCCCAAGGCTGACAGAGCTCCAGAGGTGTTTGGCCAATGCTCTCAAGCACAGGGTGTGACTGTCAGGGATGTCTGTGCAGGGCTCATAAACACTTTTTAAAAAGTGAAAATACCTGCAGATGGATCTGAAAGATCACAGTGGGTAGGGATGAGACACCACAGCACACATCTGCAGCAGCTGTGTGAACCACTGCAGATCCCCCTGGAGTTACTGAGAGACAAAGGCACTTATGGGGACCTCAGTTCAGATTAGAAATCTAAAATCAGCCAGACAAGGTCAAGGCTTTCCACAGAGAGAAATGGATCCCAGGCTCACCAGCTCAGATAGTGAGGTGAATCCTCACAACAGTCTCTAGGATCCTGGGATTCAAGCAGTTAGAAAGAATTCCTGAACTATGGGACATCTGTGGCTCAATGAGTAGACACAGAGTGAAGAAACCTTATCTACTCTTATAAGGAGTAGCAGCATATGGAAATGCAGCCACATAAAATGGCTATAAAATGTACTGAAGGAGTGTAAGTGATAAAAGTACTTGTAGGATTCCAGAAAAGATCAAAACTATGGGAAAACAGCAAAGTTAAAACAATCTGGTTACAGAAAGGTTGTTGAGGAGATAGGACAAAAGAAACATCTAAATTAAAACTGTTTGGCAACTGACTCTCTCTGGAGAAAGTTTGGGACAACAAACATCCTTACCTATGAATTCATTTCTGATTTGTGTCCTGGTTCTTAGCTCCTCGTTCCCCAGGATGATGGCATTGATAGCACTCAGCAGGGTCACCATGTAGGGCACATTGTCTGTGTTGGAGAGCTCATTCATGATGATGCTGAATCGATACTGCTGGTTCTTCACACTCTGGTAGTGACACAAGTGAGGTGACACAAGAATAGTCTTTAAAGACATAAACATCTACCACTGTGGTGCAGGGTCTAGATGGAATTAGCATCTTAAAACCTCAGTTTATCCCACTCTGCATGGCACAGGAATATAGAGGTAACAGCAACATTTCTCCACTACCCCATTTGTCCCAACCCTGGCAGTGTTCACAGCCAGGTTGGCTGAGCCTTGAGCAACCTGCTCTGGTGGGAGGTGTCCCTGCCCAGGGCAGGGGTTGGGGCTGGATCATCTCTAAGCTCCATTCCAACCCCTAAAATTCTGTAATTCTATGATTACAGAGCAGAGTCTGGTTGGCAGAGAAAGTCAGTGAAACACCTCTTGGATCCATTTATTCTTTCTGATCACTGATGCATGTATCTGAGCTTGTGGACAGTGAAACCTGTGGATGTGGTACCATTTATTTTGCTACATTAGTGGTGCTTTTGATGCCAGAAAGGACCCTGTGATTGGCAGTTGTCTGTCCAGACACATCACAGAGCAGCACCGTGGACATATCATGATGACCATGACAAATTTCCTACAGTTTTCACATTACAAATCACAGAATCATCAAGGTTGGAGGAGACCTCTAAGATCATCAGCTCCAACCATTAACCTGTCACTGCTAGAACACCTAAACCCTAAACCATATGCTTGCAGTGCCAGATCCAAATACCTCTTAAACACTTCCAGGGATGGTGACTCCACCACCTCCTTGGGCAATATCCCAGGGCCTCAACACCACAACAGGGAAAACATTTCTCCTCACATCTGATCTGACTCTGCCCTGGCTCAGCTCAAGGCCATTCCCTCTAGTCCTCTCCCTGCAGCCATGGCAGGACACACATCCCTCACCTCTCTCCAACCCCTGTCAGGTCGCTGTAGAGAGCAAATCCTGTAGAGAGTGAAATCCCTGCTTCTCTTGCCAAAAGGTTGCAAAATGACCCTTATTCCCACCTTTTTTCTGTGGTACATGGATCAGAGCAGGGCCATCCCTCCTGCTGTAACCCAACACTTGCCTTGTAATGGTCCAAGGCATCCAGAGCCAGAGCGTGGCCATCTGAGGAGTAAATGCACAGTGCAGCCAGAAGCTCGAATATTTGCTTTTTCACCATGACATTAGTTGTGTCAAGTGCTGGAGGAAAAACAAAACAAAGCAGAATTCATAAGGATATTCATGTTCTCAACCTCAGGGTGTTCTGCTCCATAGGTTAGGAGCAGCGGTAGACAAACGACTGAAGAAGGAGATGCGGAAGATGGGAAGAGAAACATCTCCATGTAGAGATGTCCCATCCCAGTAGCATCATGAGATGGTAACTTCTCATGGGAACAGTCAATGCTACAGGTGCCCTTTGGCATTTTGGTGCTACTTGGAGTTGTTCCTCTCTCCCATGTCCCCTTGGCATGCTGCAACGGCAGCCAAGCTCTCAGCACTCCCAAACACACAATTTATTTCCCATTTTCACATATGGCTATTTCCTAGAGCAGCAGATGAACCATTTCCCACGATTAATGACTCTCATTTTTAGTGCAGAGAAGCCCAATATGCATATCAAGTAGACCAATTGTTCTAACCAATCCCCATGTACTCTCTTTTCCCACTACTC